CATGACCGAATTGGTCAATATTCAAACACAAATCAAAATGGAAAAGAAATCAAATCCCAAAACAAATGAATCATGCATGGCACAAGTTGATTTAAAAGAAGAAACATAACTCCTTTTTTTAGGGAAATTACAACACATCGTCGAACAAAAAGGGAAGAAGATCCATTTGAATGGGGATTTGAAATTTCTAGGGAGAAAATTGGTCTCACCATTATAGCTATATGAGCCAGTAAAACACAAATAATGGGACATGAGTTATAGGATTTGAACTGAAAATAAAAAGAAATTGAGAAAAAGAAATGAGAGAACTTAGATTTTTTCATGGAAGGGATTTTTTACTCGAGGACGGTCATCAGAGTACAGAAACATCACTGACAACTCGAATGATCGTTGGAGAAAGGTAAGGGTCGTGAGTTTTTCATTTAGATATAGACGATCGGGACGATTTTAAGAGTTTTGGTTGTTGAAATTGGGATGAGGGATAAGATAAAGTTAGAATATGTTAACTTTTAGAATTTTAGCCAACGTGGGTGGTGCCCACAGCGACGAGCGACGAAATGCACGGTCAGATTTTGGAAATGGAGGGAAGCTCAATTGAGAGCATTTGGGAGAGTTTTTTTTTAAGGGTGGAAAGTTAAAATGAATTAGAAAAGGGAACTTTAGAGGTGTTTATAAGATGTAAATGTGTAATTAATAAATACTTAAATTATTTTTGTAGTTTCTATATTTTGACACGTAATTCATTTTGATCGTTAAACCCTAAATTAGACCCTAAATTTGTAATTAGGTCAATATAATTTTATTATTTTTATTCAATTAAATCCCTTATTCATGTTATTTGTTTTTTTATTCATACAATCATGTTTGATAATTAATTAATTTTATAATTTTTTTAAAATAGTAGGTATATTCTTAATTGTGTGATTTTCATTAATCAATTTGGTGACATAGATTAACAAGAATGATTAATTAACTTTGGTTTTTAATTATAACATTGTTAATTAATTCAATTTTTAATTAAATCATCATGTATTATTTTATGGAATTCTTCTGATTGCATGTCATTATATTTCGATAAGCATGATAGTCTCATCCACATTACTAAAAATTTTCAATAATGAATTAAAAGTTAATGCACATTTACTTAAAATTATCGAAAAGAGTTATCATAATCTACTTGGGTAGTTTTATTCGATAATTAAAATGAGTGGGTATCCTCCAATGAAATCATAAAAAATATAAATTTTAAAATTGATGAGGAGGGTACAAAGGGATATGTTTCTATATTTAGACTTATTGAAAATGAATCTATTGACCCTATTCGGAGATTTAGCTTCAGTACTTTTAATTATTCGAACATCCCCTAGCTATCTTAAAGGCCCGATAATTTCCATTAATAAAACTTTTTTTGGTCGCATAACTTTAGATAAATGAATAAAATGATTATAATATTTCTTGTTTCCTTCTCAATAAGGGAAAATCTCCACTCCACTCTACCTTATATTAGGTGGTGTTTTCCTTCGGTTTGAAACGTTGAAATGTTAACAATTTAACTTAAAATTTTTGATAAAAAATTGGGGATTTACTGCTTTAGTTGGAAATGATAGGGATGTCACTCTACCTTATATTAGGTGATTAACTTTCTCTAGTTAAATACAAGAATTGTTAATTGTTTCTCTAATATTTTAATAGGTTAAATAACATTGTATTTATTTAACTAAAGGGGATCATTAATTAAATCAAGCCTGAATATATAAATTACATTGCAAAGACAATAATTAATTGATTAGGTACTCATTTTTTAGCGTTGTGGGGCGTGCTAATCTTTCCCCTCACGTAATTCACTACCGAACTCATTTTTTGAAAAACCGAACTCATTTTAAAATTAAGATTTTATTAAAATAATAGAACATTCTTGGGTGATCCAATCACATCCTAAACAAATATTGGTGACGACTCCTTCAAACCATATTTTTTTATTGTTAAAAGAAAAACCTAATTTTAGTTAAAATGAACTCTTGAAATTAATTTCTCAATTTTTCGGGACGTTTTGAAAGCTAGGCGACTTCGCTGGGGATTTTACTAAGTCGTCCCATTATTCGATTAATTATTGTCTTTGCAATGGAAACTATGGATTAAACTTAATTTAATTTCTGATCCCTTTGATTGTGCTTGTTTGTTTACATTCATTTTTAAAAGCATAATGGCTTATGCATACTTTTGATTGTTCATACTGATGTGTGTATTCATGATCTTTCAGATTATTAATTGGATTGGTTTTTGTTCAAGATTTGCATGTAAGTGTTTGCTAAAGGTTGGTAGATTTCTCTTCACACACTCACTACATTTGCACAACATAAACCTTATTTTTGGGTTGTCCCTTTTAACTGAGGGTGAAAGAAATGCCTTTGTAGGAAATGTTTCATTCTGTCATGCTTAGCAAGTAACATTAAGGGTCCACACCTTATGTTTTTGTGGGATATGTTTCTCCATGTTTGGCATAACAATGTGTATCTTCTCGAATTTAACTTGATCCATATATGTCTGTGATAGGTTTAGGATCTAGGGTCTCGTAAGCCCAAAGGGGGGCCAATGAGGATAATTCGAGTACCTTTGACCTTAGAGCTGAAACCATACGTGTAATATACCCTAGAAATCTACCCGAATCGAAATAATGTCGAACCTATAGGAATTCTCAAATAGGTGTACACAAAGAAGAAATCGGCCTATATTCTTTTTCCTTTATTTTTGGGATCGATGTCTTAAAGCTGAGCTTGGTCCCATACCTAATCCTTCCCCCTAAGTTCAAAGTCCCAGACTTTTAAAATTTGATGGGAATAGATGTACCTCCGTTCATATCATAATGTTCTGTCGGAAAATGACAAGGCATATAGGGAATGATCAACTCATGATTCATTGCTTCTAGGAGAGTTTGATGGGCTCAATGATCTGTTGGTATAATCAACTGAATTGAGTCCACATTAGGTTGTGGAGGGATCTTGTTAGGTTTTTCCTAGAATAATACAAACACGTGAATAATATGAGACCTAACCAAGTGATACTAAAGGGAATGAAAAAGAAGCCTAACGAGATCTTCAAGCAATATGCACAACGATGGAAAGTCATCGCCGTACAAGTTCATCCCACCTTGAATGAGAAAGCAACAAGGAAACCCTTTGTGCACACTCACAAAGCTCATTTCTTTGGACACTTGGTCAAGTGTCAATCACTTCCGGGAGCTTCACTGATATCACGATGGCGGGAGAGATGGTTGAGATGGCCTTTAAACAAGGAGAGATTAAAGGAGGCAAATCCCATAGGAGGCAAACCCCAAAGAATAAAGAAGGGGAAGTCAACAATGTGAGCACCTATGGTTTTGGAAAAGCCATCACTATTTTACGACCAAAGTCAACGACAACTATATTATCAAAACATCCAAGGCAAATTTAACCTTATTTCAATGATGTATTAGGAGTTGTTTCAACAACTCTTTGATACACATTTGGTATCGCCTTATCTAGTGGATCCCCTAAAACCAACTCTTTGTAAATGTGTTATGTGTTACACTTTTTTATTTTATTCACATACACCGATATAAGTATGTGTCAAGTACAGTTACAAAAGGTTAGAAATATTACATTATGTTTTACATCAATAAAGCACCACAAAAAGTTTTCATGCATAAAAATTACAATATGATTCCATACATAATAATTTCAAAAAACTTCACAAAAAAATTCAAAGTTTATACACTAATTTGTATTAAAGAGGAAGTTACAATAGGATTTTTGCTTTTTCTTGTTATATTTTTTATGTGTTTGAAATTAGGTAAACTTTGAATATTTTTGTGGACTTTTGTTAAATTACGTTGCACTTACAATCAACATAAAATTATTATGTATGGAATTAGATTGTAACTTTTATGTATGGAAACTATTTGTGGTACTTTATTGATGTAAAACAGAATGTGATCATTTCGAGTTTTTGTAATTGCATTTAACACATAATTTTACCGATGTAAGTGAATAAAATAAAATAAAAAGTATAACACTTACACTAGTGTAAGGAAGTACATCTCCTAATATTTTGTCTGAAAAATTGTGAGCATTTTTAGCAAGTCAGCAGCTTAATGTTGTCGAACAAAAGAAAAAGAGTTGCATTCAAAATGGTTAGCAAAAAATGCAGTAAATGAGTCTCAACGATGGCACTCTCCAAAAGCTAGTGCTTTGAAGCTTTGAAGCTTGTTGATTACTCATTATATGTGCATCTCTACGACCAGGAGAGAGGGGAAGTTATAAGTAGTGTTGCATCGATGAGGGAGAAGCAAGTTTTAAAGGGACAATGCGATTTTAATAAGTTTCTTTTTTGGGGTTTTAAGGAGAAGAAAAGAGAGGAAAGTTGGGTTTTGGAAAAGAAGATGAAGCGGAGAAGAATTGCATGCTTTTTTTTGTAAGGTATTTTTTTATTTGTATTTAGTTTTTCATGGAGAATGTTGGGCGGGCACCGGAGAAGAAGAGTTGCTAAGGACTATTTTGCATGTATAGTGATGATTTTGAAAATAAAATGATAATTGGGTGACCAAAATAGTTAGGTGAGCAAAACGAAACCATGACAATAGTTAAATGATTAAATATGTAATTTACCCTTATTTTTTAACGGAGTTAACTGTTTAGGACAAATAAAGTAACGATTTAAATTTTAGGAGATAAAACGTCCAAAAAAATACTTTGAGAGACAATTCGATACAAATGATATAATAAAGGGAGTAATGGTACATTTAAGCCAAAAATAAAAAGATTGGGTAATTGTTTACATGGACACAGTGTTTGATCATCTTATAGAACTTCATATGGTTACAATTAATTAAGTATTTTTACAACCCGAAAAAACATAGACTGACTTCACATGTCTTGAGGATTTAATGTTAAACGCACTTCGCACAAAGCGATTTCACTTTCCTTCCCCTTTAATTTGGTCCCAATCGAAGAAAATACTCCAAGCTAATTAAAGGGTCTTTAATTACTTGTTGATGATGTATTCCAAATCTCCTCGAGTTCCCTGGCAAACGTCTTTTGTCTGCCGACAACAATCGTAATGTGGTCTTTATTTTCAGCAACCTTAACTCGAGCACGAGGGATTTTTCTTTGGACATCGTAGCTACACTTGACTGGGATTACTTGGTCGTCTTCTCCGTGGAATATGGTGATATTGCAATCCAGTCGGTTGCGAACGACGTCCAAGTAACGGTCGAGCTTAGTGGCTGTGCCACAAATAATGTTGTGAAGTGTATGCCAGGCAGCGTTATGTGTGTGGCAAAAGAAACCTTCCATCAGGTATGTCCTCACCCTACATAAAAGAAATGCATTGAAATTGAAGGCACATATGGTAGATGAAGGTCAATTATCAATAAACATAGACAGACATTGACTGAAATAGATTGAAATATAATAATGGGCAAAAATTTTGACTAAAATAAAATTTAAAATATATAATACAATTTAAGACCGAAACAGTAAGTGTCGGCTGTTTTAGTGTATAGAATTGTTGTTAAGGTTGTTTGGGTGGACAGGACTCGAGTTTGAGGTGTTAGGAATGATTAGGATTGACGGAATTCAGGTTAACTGTTTCTGGTGACAAGTTTGGTGAGAAATTCCCAAAGCCGATGATTCTTGCATATGACAAGACAAATCGTCCTGCTGATGTGCTCGTACCAGCAAGCCAGAGATGCACAAAACGCCATAACCGGCCACACTCGTCGTGGCGCTAATTTTCTCATAACATATTGTGTTGTTGCTTCACCCTTTGGTACCGGATAGTATGGCTGCCGATTTGCATGTATGACATTTCCTATTAATTGGTAACCCTTTTATGTACAATTGGTAAAACGAAAAGAAATTTACCGGTGTGAGTAGTGTTAGAGACTTGACTGATCCAGGGTGTTTAACAGCTATAGCAAGGGCTAAGATGCAGCCTAAGGAATGAGCCACAATGTGGAAAGATTTAACTTTGTAATCTTCAAGCACGGATTTTTCAATCATGTCCACATGCTCACTTAAGGTGTAAAGAGAATCGGCTGGCTTAGGACTTCTCCCAAAACCCAGCAGATCAACTGCCAAGAACCTGTAAGTTGATTTAGCAGTGCTTGAAAAGTTGGGGAATAAAGTTTCAGTCCAAAATGCTGATGATGAAATGAAGCCATGGATGAATATCACATCTTCACGTGCTTTATTATCTGAAACCACAACAAATCCAATAGCAAGTTAACAGTAATATGATGAATTTAGCAGTGTCGACCATAAGCATTTTACCCTTTGGTCCTTGAGCATTGACGAAGAGGGTGTCTTTACTAGAAGACGTCCAAGAATTGCAGAATTTACAATCGCAATCAGACCACGTAGGGATATGACCAACCATCTTGCCCTGAAGCGTTTCCACAACGATGGAGTTGACGGTGAAGGTTGATCTCGCCGACCGTTTCTTGATCTTCTTGCAAGTTTTCGTGGTGGTACCATCCAACTTGAGTTTCTTTAGCCCATCGACGGTGAGCTTCGAGACCTCGGTCACTAGTGAAGGACGTGAATAAAGGGTATCCGAAATGTCCTGGAGCTGCAACTTGCTCGAATTGAGGCTAACAATCTTGGACTCCCCTTGTTCGGAGACTAATATCTTGTTGCCGCCGCTGCTAGTGATGGCTTCTTTAGTGGGGTAGCGGTAACAAGGCCTCCACTCGGCTTCAATGCAAAAATCAGCCACTTTGTAAGCAAAACACAGAATGAAATCAACAAGGTCGAGTACAGAGAAGACAACGAAGCTCAGAGTCTTAATTACAACTCCTCCCATGAACTTTAGGACCGATCTGGGTTTACACATTACATCCATTTCATAGTTTCCAGGACAATGTCGAGGAATTGATCAGGTTTTTTAGAGCTAAAATATCTGGGAAACAATTGCAAGGCCTCAACCCTAATCTATATCATCGTTTCTTCTCTGTATGATATACAAATTACACCAACATAAATAGGAAAGCAAATGCCGATACCTGTTGGTACAAGGGGTAAGGTTTAAGAAATTTAACCTCGTAAGGTCAAATTCAAATCTTATTATCCTCGCTCTTAATAAATAATCTATAAATTCTTATATAAATCTCAACTGGATCTAAGTATGCCTCACTAAACTTTTGTAATACCAAAAAAGAATAAGAAAACAAATTGTAGAACATATATGCGTTTTAAGTCTCGAAAAGTGGGCAGCGGAAATACAATGTGCAAATACCATATAAAAAGACTTAATCGACAAATAAATGTATAAATTATATATATATATATATATTTTATGTTAGAGATCTATTTCCTTTTATCAAAATATCTATTGAAATTTTATTTTATTCTTATTTTCAGATAATCGTTGACCAATGCATGATAGGTTCCTAATTTATATAAAAATAATTAGTAATACATCAAAAGTTTAAATAAATATATAATATTTTACAAAATTATAATACAAAAAAAGTACATAATATACCAAATAGTCAGGAGTAGGCTTGTAAATGAACTGAACGTTCAGCGAATCGTTCATGAACCGTGCGGCGGAAAGTTCGTTTATGTGCGTTTATTTATTAAATGAACGAACATGAACAAGATTTTGTGTTCGTTTAATTAAATGAACGAACACGAACATAGGTCTCGTTCGTTCATTTACGTTCGTAAACATTCGATTATGCTCGTTTATGTTCGTTCGGTTATGTTGGTTCATTTATGTTTAACCCAATCTTCTTAAATCAATTTTGGTGACCAATTTGTAAGTATCTTAAAAATATTAATTAATCTGATATTCATATAATCAACTCCATAATTAACCTAATTTTATTTGGAGATTAAATCTAATATGTTAACATGGGACGCACCTCGCACCTATATTCATTTTCCCCCTTTTTTCCCCTTTTTTTCCCAAACCCTAGTGTTCACTGGAGAGTAGAGACGATCGGTGAAAGCTTCAAAACAAGTTATATTATAGTGCAATATGAAGTTTTACAGGTCTGTTTTCATCTCTTTCTCTATTTTATTTGGCTTAATAGTTGATATGTAAAGTTATTGCGAGTATCTTTACATCTAAAACTTAAGAAAATATCATACTTCTTTCTAGAAATAGATAGGAAGATAAATGTAACAATCGGAAGTATATGAGCATCAGTAAAGAGAAAAATATATAGAATTTGTCAGAAAACAAAATAAAAGTTTCTATGCAATTTCTGAAAAAGAGTGTAGTAGCGGAAGTAATGGATTTTCCTGGAATAACCCATTAATAAGTAGAAAATATACTTTGACATTGAACTTTTGTTTTTATAGTTCTTGTGTGACCTTTAGTTGCTGAGTAGACTTTAGTTACATTAAAATTTTGAATGGTGGTTTAGCAATAATATCAGTTACGATATGTAGCATTGGAGGGATTTCGGATCTAAGTTATTGCCTTGTAGTCCAATTTGTACCGTTCGAAATCTTCATGCTGTTAAATTTTCTACTCTACCAACGGAAAGGACCATTATTAACAAATCTCACTAAACTCTGATATTGATGTCACAAAACTTTTAGCCGGCGAATTTATTAGAATAACATAGTGGAAAATGATTGTTCATATGTAATCATGGACCACTAAGATAAATGTTATAGCGTTAAATTAAAGTCCTGTGAATCATTTAATATCTTTAAAAGATCGATCGAAATATCTGATATCTTCAAACATTTCATCACTGCTAATCAGCTCTTACGCTATTTATCACTGTAGATTTGGTTGATTTGCATTGTCGACTATTTTTCATGAAAGAACAATGGAAGGTAGGGTCTCCAACGTTTATGTTCGTGTTCGTTTATGTTTGTGTTCGTTTATGTTCGTTTATTTATTAAATGAACGAACATGAACAAACTATATTCCTTAATGAACGAACATGAACAAAAAAATTGTGTTCGTTTATGTTCGTGTTCTTTTATTTATTAAATGAACGAACATGGACATATCTCCGTTCGTGTGCATTTGATTCGCTTACAGGCCTAGTCAGGAGATGGATGTAAGTAGGTGGCGGGACAGTTGCCCCCAAATTTTTTATCACATATATATATATATATATATTTCAATCTTCCATATAATTTCATTTGGATTTCGTCTCCATTTTTAGTTCTAATTATAATTTACCTTGAGACACTTTTACATTTAGTAACACACATTTCCATTTTAAAATTCATTTTATTAATTACACTTATTCTAAAATTTATTTATTTTTATCTCACGTACAAAAATTTAATCTTATTTGTATATATATTTACTTTCAAAACTATTTTTAAATTCGTTAATGTATAAATCCACATCTGAGTGCGGGAGAGCTTCTATTAAAGGATAATAAGAGAAGAGAGGCTGCCCAAATATTGTTACAACAATTTGGCCAAGGAAGAAGACTGTTGGTGGTGGTTGAAGCTCCGAAGAAAGAATTAATGTTATACTTGCTCCATTCTCCCAAATGTTGATCCTTTATTTACATTCCCTAAAACCCTAAACAAAAAAAAAACAATACATATTTCACCCAAATTTCTATCCTATCATTACCTTAAAACTTTATGAAAAAACTTCCTCTTTTTTCCATCCTTGTGGAAAAGATTGTTTTATTCTTTCGTTTCCCAATAAAATGTTACAAAACAGTTATGAATGTGGCTATGTTCTTTTTTTCTTTTCTTATATTAAGCACGACAATAATAAATAATGTTTTTCTTCCTTTTTCTCAAACCCTATAAAAAGGGGTTAAGAATTAAGAGAAAAATAAAACTGTACTTTATTGACAGCCATCGTTGCCTACTGTTTTGTTTTTCTTGCAACCCAACCTTCATTCTGGGCGCTTAGGCGAACCATTAATGTTACAAACATTTTCCTTTTTATTAATTGAAGGGTAAATGATATTGATGTCACTAAACGTTTATGATATTTTTACTTTAGTCACCAAACTTTTAAAACTTACATTGTGATCATTAAACTTTAAATTTAATTATTTTACTGTCATTGTTGTTAGTTGTCGTTAAGAAAAGCTAACATGACATATTCAAATATTCTTCTCCAAAAATATAAAGAACGTCCAAGGTTCCAGACTGGCTGTTATCGCATAGACCAAGTTTTTGATGAACAAAACGATCATTGACTAATTTCAATAGTAGGAAGGCTTCGTTTAACTAGAAGATTAACATAGTTTGATTTCAAACTAATTTGATGATTTATAATGACTGATAAAAAAAGTTCTAGCTTTCAATTTTAATCGAGTTTTTAGCATAATAGAAAATTTTTCGACAAGTTTATATCGAATGAAAGAAATAGAAGAATGAAAATAGGAGTAGTTCGGTGATCTTTTCGATAAAAAAAATCACCAAATAGTGACGAAAACGACAATGGAAGGAGTGATGACTGCTATTGTTTTAAGATTTTTTAACATATCATGTTAATTGTGGTTAATAGTTTAACAATCCAATGACCGAATAACTCTCTTAAGCAAAGAGAAAGTACCCTAAAAGTTAATTAGTTATTACTGTAGTTTACCCTTAGTATGAAATACATACATTTAAAAAATGGACATCTTTGTCGTTTTTCAATCCTCTTGTATCTATTGCATGATTTCTTCTCCACATGACTCTCATATTCTCTTTGGTAGTGACACTCGCCTACGTCATCTCGACGGATCATAAATCTTTGGCTGTTTTTCTAATCTTTAATAGCAAAGATATATTTCATGCACAGTATAACCGCACTACGTGCACGAAATCAAACAATTAACTTTGGGACAAGGTTGTAAGAATGAAAATGCTTCACTGTAGGAAAAAATGAATTATTTGTTGAAAAATTAGGATATTATAAAAGAATCAAATTTCAGTTTTTTTAATTAAAAACTATGATTTTTATTTATAACTTATTATACATGATTAAAATTATAAGATTTAATTTGTGATGCTTGACTCGTGGATTGTAATGTAAACCAATAGATATTCATGAGCATGATTATATTGAATTGTTAATAGAGCTCAAAAAAAAATTAAATAACTTATATGATAACTTTTAAAATTTATCAATTTAAGCTATTTATTATTTTTTTCAGATTTTTAAACCAATTTTAACTAAATAGAAATTTCATTAACCTTAATTATCTCAACTTCTATTCTATTATTAGTCCGTGCTCAATCCATAAACACCCCACCTTAACTCCCTCTTTTTATTTTCACCCCTCCTAACTTCTTTGAGTATTTTTTTAGAACTATTATTGATTCATGAGCCTCATTCTATAACAGAAGAACTTAATGTATTGCGAATGATAAATTATACGAAAAATATCTTACAAATAATATTTCTTCATTTACACCCTTATTCTTAAGCCCGTTTTATAATGAAAAATTTTGTTAAATCTTGAAAGATACGCTACACAGAAAAATGTTCTTAAATATAAATGTTTTTATATCTTAAATAACTTATCTTGTATTTCGATCCATCAATTAAGTGTAATGACTTTTTTAGGGAGGTAAGGGGGCATGCACATGCAGGGAAGTAAATGAAACGAACAGTGATATTATATTTGTGGAATGCCTAACATTATGCGATTATTAACAGGCTATATTAATTTTTAACTTAATAATGGCAAATTTCGATGCCAAACTAAGTTATTTTCAGTGATTATGATGTTTCGACAATGGCAATGGGAAGACTTAATGAGCCAGTGGCCTACTGTTTCAAAACCTCTAATCTGTTGTTTATGTGTAGTAATACGGTTGGTGCGTTTCTCCATATAGGCCTTGATTGATTTATTATATTGATGCCGACTTGTATCACACATAATGGCCAATTTACCTACAATTTGCGGCCAATTTAACAGACGG